TGGGGGGGGTGGGGAGCGCCATGGAGGGGGGCGCTCTGAGGAGGGGCTCTCTGGGCGCGGGGAGGGCGCCTTGGGTTTCCCTGTTGGTAGTTGCTCCTCTCTGCAATTCCAGGATAGGGGAAGATGCAACTTCGGGCGGCGGGGCGAGAGCCCGGGAGGTGGTTTTTACCGCAGTGGAGGGGCGGGGTGGGGGCCGGGGTGGGAGCGCGGAAGAGGCTCTGGCTTTGTACACTTCGTCAAAGGCGACGCGGCAGGAGGGGAGCTCGGATGCGCTTTCCATCCATTAGGAGACAAAGAGCAAATTGCCTTACTTTAAAGTAAAACGCCCCGGCTAATGAAGGTGGGTGCTGGGGCTGCCGGGCCTGAGGGGCCGCTTCAATTATTAAGGGTTTGGAGAATGGGATCGATGCCTGTGGGCACCGAGCGCTGCTGCCTGGGGGACGTGTTTGCGTGTGGGGGTAAGGGGGTGGGGGTACTTATTTTTACTGCCCCCTACCCTCTGCATGCCCATCAGCTGGGAGCCTATAGTGACCCTAACATTAAAGAAGTGAGAGAGCTCCTGGAAGGGAAGTTTGGGCAGGGGTGGGGGTGGGGAGTGAGGATTCTCGCAAGGACTTCCGAGAGGGGTGGAGAGAGAGGGTCTGGGTGACAAGGACTCCTGGGAGATGCGCCCAGCCTCGTTGGGATCGGAGTAGGGGTGGGGGGTTGGGTCGTGCTGATCACAGTATATACCTGGGTATGTGAAAGAAGAATGCAGTGTGTGGCGAGTGTTGTTCGGCGGACGGGCTGGGGTTGCAAAGGCATCTCCTCTGCCATTTCAAAGGAAAACTAACCTACTGAATAGTTATGAGATTAAATCGCCTCGTCAAGTTGTAAAGAAACTTTGTATGAATAAGTTTGTTAAAAGCTAGCCGAATGGGGTACTTAAAACCAGCGGTTTATGGAGAAAGATTGGTGACGATCAGGGGTGTGGGCTGGAGAGCCAGTGGATCCCTGCAGTTAGGGACCGGAGAGAACCAGCCTTTTACCCCCAAAATGTGGGTCTGTAAATCAGTCCCGTTTACTATCGGCATTAATAAGCTTCCCGCAGCAGACGACCAGGAGCTCCGGGGTTGCGTGTGTCTTGCCCATTCCGCTGGGCTTATTGGTAGGGAGTCACTTGGTCTCCGGGTGTGCAAGGATCAACTCGCTCAGCCCTCTTTTTAAGTATATTCATTCTGTGCCTTATTTAATCCAGATGCACAAAAAGCCATTTGCTACTTCATTGTTGGTTTACATTTTTTGAAAAGGCGACTGGTGTAACCTGTGGAATTTGAAATGCAAATAAAAGCCTGTGGGAGTTGAGGCAGAACAAATCAGCATTTATAAAGTGAAAAAGATTTAATGTCTTTGAAATCATTGCAGGGGGAAAAAAATAACTAGAGGGGAGTGTGATTTTTCAGGGAGTGAATTGTGACGTCAGGTCTTTTTGGAAAAGATGTTATTTTTAAGGTCTGAAACCCGGGTATGTAAAGTGCTTACAGGAAAAACAGATTACAAGATTAACATCTGTTAACATGATCCTTTATCTCCAGCCAAAAATAGGTCAGTTCTTTCTTAAGGAAACACGATTGCTGGCGCAAGCTTAAATAATAAAATTAAAAATAACGAGTTCATAAATGAGGGACGGACATGTGTTATAATCTAACTCGTGAAAAACATTTTTTATTTCGAGATCAATGAAAGGTCAAAGTCCCTTTTGGGTGCTGAGAACAACTCTTTTCCCTGTGTCCACCCCTCCCTGATGACCCCTTCCTCCTTACTCGGAGCTCCCTCTCCTCCCCCACTCCGATTGCTAATTTCCCTTTTCATCCATTGTGGATGTACAAAATATATTTAAATGGGTATCGTTTGACGCCCCCCTCTTTAAAGGAGGTAAACTCTCCGCGCAGATGGTTAACTTTCAGAGCTCTGCTGTTGTTTTACCATTAAATGAAACGGTAGGGAGAAGAGAGGAAAAAAAAAAAAAAAAAAAAAAAAAGCCTTGCAAAGTCTCCCTGCCCTCTGAGTGTGAGTGACGGCTCGGCCGGCCAATCCGCAGCGGCTTTCTCCATCCCGGAGGTAATTTGGGGTGTGAGTGTGTGTGTGAGCGCGCGCTCCTGCGTGTGCATGTGCCCATGTGTCTGCACACTTAGGTCCGACCAGCCCGGCGCATCTGCAGACTCCTGCGTTTGCACGTATGTGTGCTGTAGACGTGGAAACGCTTTTATCCGAGTCTGTCCGGCGAGATGGGCACGCAGCAGTCCAAATGAAGGCTCTGCCGCCTTCGAATGTCCTCCTGTGAAGAATGGGCATTAGAGAGGCACTTTCAGATTCAAGTCGAAACCTGCAGAAGGGGAAGAAAAGAGGAGCGATGTGATTGTGCTTCTAGGCAACTGGGGAATGGAGATGTGCGGTTCCATACGCCCTGTTCCCACCCGGCAGGCGCACCCGGGCGCGTTTGGGGTCCGGGTGACGGAGCCCACTTGCTGGGGTAAAGCGTACAGACAACGCGGATGGTTGGAACTGATGTTAACTCCCTAGAAAAGTCAATGGCAGCATGTACCTTCCAACTTGAAATTTTATTTTCTCACTGGAAGTTGATATTTAGTCCATGGCAAATTCTAGAATGTGAACTGCTCACGGTCATTGCAAGTTCTGCTGCCCACCCGATTTAGGAATGCGCGCCCGGGCCGCGTCGGCCCCGCACAATGGGCATATTCACGGGCGGCGCGCGTCACTGGCCACCCCACGCTCCGCACTGACTCGATCCGGCGCCGACTCTCCTAGGAACAGTGGTAGTGAGGTGTGTGGTTAGCGTCGTACGCGCCTCGGGGACTGCGTGGACAGACCTGGACCGTGCAGCATCTCTGTTAAAGTGCTGGAGATGCCGTGTCTTTGGGAAGCGCCGCGGGCTGCTGGGCTGCTGGGCTGCTGCTCACTCCGTGGTCGTGGTGATGCAACGGACGGGTTAAGGACCCACGTGCCCTGCCTCCCCGGAGACCCCAGCAGGGAGACCCCTGGAAGGGACCTTGTCTACGCACGGGTGTGCCCGGCTGCCAGGCCGCACCGAGGTCACCCCGAGGGGCCATGGGCGGCCCCAGGCGACCTCCGTCCTCCCCCTCTGCGAGAACCTAACTCGGTTAAGAGGTGTCCGGCCCCGTGCCTCCCCTCCCCGGCGGGCCCCTTCTGTCCCCCAAACCCGAGTTCCAGCCGATTCTGACCCCGCCACCCCCATCTTAGTGCGGCGTGAGGAATGGGCAGCAGTGGGGAGGTGTCGTTGGATTAAATCATTGCTATTTCTGTATCTCCGCGCTGCGGCGGCGCTGGGCCCGGGGCGCTGCCGGGGAGGCGCGGGGAGCGTGTGTTGGGGGGGTGAGGGAGAGGGATGGCGGGGGCGGGGGGGATGTACCTGCCCGCCCCG